AGTAGTTCGCAATAATGCCCGAAAACGAATCTGTACTAGTCAGCCGGTGAGGTTAGTCCCGAACTTTGCTTCTGCAGTAGCGCTATATCTCTACAGCTAGGCCAGCGTGCCGAAAATGTCCCTCCGCGCTTTTCTCCCTCGCACCAACAACGTCAACACACCATTCGAGGAAGTTATCGAATCCTTGCTCTGGATTTTCTTCGTAGGATTGCCAATTGCGCCGGATAAAGGCCTTCAGCTCAGCAAAATATTCCTCAATAGGATTCAAATCAGGAGAATATGGAGGCAAATACACTAGCTTTACGCCAGCTTCTGAGCATATCTGTTCTATTCTGCCCGAGTGATGAAAGGATGCGTTATCCATCACTAGCACAGACTTCGGCTCGGGCCATTTCCCACAGTGCTGGAGAAGCTGCTCGACGAAACCCTCAAAGACGGAAGCGTCAGTTGAACCCTGGAACACTCGAGACAAAACAATGCCGTCTTGCGCATACGCAGGCAGAATATGATAACGCTGATCACGATGAAATTTCGACACTTGAACCGGTGCGGTACCAAGGGGGGACCAACCCATTCGCCGGAAGCCAATCCTTTTATCACATCCAGATTCATCGACATAGACAAGGTGGTAAGACTTGAAGTCTGAGATAAAATGATGGTATTCGTCCCGAAGCTCGAGGTTGCGTTCTCGCGCCCTGACCCAAGCAGTCTTTTTTGACCAGCCTTTGGACTTAAGGGCGCGACTGACACTCGATTTCGTTGCTTGAAGAGCGAATTCGTCCCACAGAAAAACCACCATCTCGTCCAGATATAATGTAGGCTTTTCAGTCAGATGGTCGCACAAAGCCTCGAGCATAACTGGAGTGATACTACGGTGTCGTCCGCCTTTAACTGGCGGTGCTTTGACGTTGCCAAACATCCTTATATTGGAAGAGATTCTCGAGATGGTGCTCTTGTTGCAACCAGCGGCCTGTGCCATCTGAGTTATAGATAGTTCGCCACTGTGGATCATGTCATAGATAAGCTCATGCTTGGATGGAGCTAGGTTTGGAGCCATCTTTGGCTAAACCACTCGTGATTGATTGTTAAGTACGCCTCCCGAGGAAAGCTGTTTCGAGGGAGGGGCATGGAGGTGTCAGATGTATTGAAATTACAAACAAATACATGCCTTAAATTACTATGTAACCCGCGTACGAGGAAATACACAGGCAACTACCGGAAAAACACCCAACATAGACTAGTGCGACTTGGCGTAAGGGGAAGGAAAGTCAATCGAAGAGTGTAGTGGTTGCACCGATTTCGGGATGTACTGTATCTTCCATAGAACAGAGTGAACCCATTGAAACATAATACCCTAATAGGGCCGCGAGGATATCAGACCTAGGGGATTTCGAGCGCGTCTGTATGACCACGGGCTGGACGAGCCACGTGGCAGTAATACCGACTTCTTGTGTGACCAATGGCGGGACGGGCCGCGATGCGAACCCCTGAACCGCCCGACCGTGACGAACGCGGAGATTCGCCACCGCGACTGGCGAGACCGAAACGCACCACTCGACCACCGAACAACTACGCCCGTGAGCAGGAAATTGATACTGATCGGCGGAAGACGCGTTCCCAGCAAAAGGAGAGAATTGAGCTAGGAGACCGGCGTGATGAGGCAACTTCGGACGACGCTGCGACCGAGCGCGAAGAGCTCGACGTCGGCGGTTTGGTGAGAGAGATCGCCAAACTCAGGCGAGAAATCAGACTCCGTGACGAAATACACAGGGAAGAAATTCAGAGAACCAGAGAACAGTTCGATGCCGCCCTCGCGGAGGTCCGACACGAGCTACAGTCCCTGTCGAATAGAAACACGACGCCGCAATGCCACTCTGAGACGTGCTCTCAGAACAACCACGATGCGATCCTGCGCGAAATCCAGTGCTTACGCGAGGAAATCAGTGTACCCGTTGTCGCAAGCTCTCCTTCCTACGCAGATGTCGCGCGCACTCCGCCGTCCAGTTACCCAAGCAACATACGAACCCTTTCAACGCTGAACACGACGCCCACCACCTTTACGGACACGCTGTATTGCACGATAGACATCTCGAAGATGGCAGACAAAGGGACAGGACTGACCTCCGCAGGCTCGGTCAGAGCAGCGGTTGAGGCTGAGATGCGGTCAACAGAGGACCACGCGCACTGGCGCTGCCGCGCTGTTACCGTTGACCCGAAAAACGCCAACCGGATCAGGATCGCCTGCCGCGATGAGGATGAACAGCAGCTGGTCAAGAAGGTTGCAGAACAGAAAATCGGGGAGGGAGCTCGGGTCCTCCGTGACGAGCTCTACCCGATCAAAGTCGACAGCGTCAACAAGACTTCCGTGCTAGACGAGAACGGTGAGGTCTGAACCGACGCTGCTGCAGCGTTTAGTGAGGAGAATGAGGCCACCGTAGCCAAGATTTCATGGCTGAGTAGAAAAGAGAGCGAGAAGGCCTACGGTTCAATGGTGGTTTACCTGACCAAACGCATCGACGCGCGAAGGCTCTTGGCCGACGGATTTTTCCACGCGGGGGGAGAATCTGGTGTGACCAGTGTCTTCGAACACCGACCGCGACCGACACAATGTTACAACTGCCAAGAGATAGGCCATAAGGCATTCCAGTGCAAGAACGCTCAGAAGTGCGCGAAATGCGCTACAGAGGGCCATCGCCACAGCGACTGCAATCAAACGGTTCCAAAGTGTGTTCCGTACGGAGGACCCCATGAATCGTACAGCAAGAACTGCCGGAAACTCTATCCATCACGTCATGAATAATTCTCTTCGAATAATCCAGCTCAATGTGAGGAAGCAGGGTGCGGTGCATGAGAGTTTGATGAACGACGAAGACACTCAAAACGCGGTGGCGCTAGCGATTCAGGAACCCCAAGCGAGGAGGATTCAGGGCCGGCTCTTGACCACCCCAATGGGGCATCACAAGTGGACAAAAATAATGCCCTCCGCCTGGAGGGATGGGAGATGGGCGATTCGGAGCATGCTCTGGATTAACAAAAAAGTTGAAGCGGAACAAGTCCCTGTGGAGTCTCCGGACATCACAGCAGCGGTGATCAGGCTCCCCGAGCGGCGGGTCTTTCTGGTATCAGTTTACGTTGAAGGAGGCAGTATCTCAGCTTTGGACGATGCGTGCAACCATTTACGCGACGCGATCACAAAGGTACGACGAGAGACGGGCGCCGTGGTAGATACTCTGATTGTGGGGGACTTCAACTGACACAATCAACTCTGGGGTGGAGACGAGGTATCGGTGGGAAGACAAGGGGAAGCGGATCCAATCATTGAATTCATGAATGAGTTTGCACTCAGTAGCTTGCTCAAACGCGGCACTAAGACATGGCACGGCGGTGGATAAAGTGGAGACTGCGAGTCTACTATCGATCTCGTCCTAGCTTCAGAAAATCTGACGGATTCCATGGCAAAATGCGCTTTACTCGAGACGGACCACGGCTCTGATCACTGCGCCATTGAGTCCGTGTTCGACGCCCAGTGGTCGGGTCCAAAGCACCAAGAGCGACTTTTACTGAAGAATGCACCATGGAAGGAGATTAACGCCAGGATTCAGAACGCTCTAGCCATCCTTCCGTCAGAGGACACGGTACAGCAGAAAACGGATCGACTTATGTTGGCAGTGTCCGAAGCGGTGCACGCTTTAACCCTGAGGGCGAAATCATCACCACATGCGAAGCGATGGTGGACAGCTGACCTCACTCAACTCCGTCATATATACACGTACTGGAGAAACCGCGCTTGCTCTGAGCGACGGGCGGGGCGAAAAGTCCCCCGGCTCGAAACGATGGCTAAGGATGCGGCCAAACAATACCACGATGCCATTTGCAAACAAAAGAAGAAGCACTGGAACGAGTTTCTCGCAGACAATGATAACATCTGGAAAGCCGCCAAGTACCTCAAGTCGGGAAACGAAGCCGCGTTTGGGAAGATTCTGTAGCTTCTTAGAGCCGATGGAACTACTACGAACGATCACAAGGAGCAAGTGGAGGAATCGATATCCAAGTTCTTCTCGCCTTTGCTAGAGAATATCGACGAGGAAGGAGTGAGACCACAGAGAGCGACTATAGACATGCCAGCTGTCACTATGGAGGAGATAGAGCGGCAACTGTCAGCGGCCAAGTCGTGGAAGGCGCCCGGTGAAGACGGCCTATCGGCGATCGTGTGGAAGATGACCTGGCCTACAGTCAAGCATAGGGTCCTCGACCTCCTTCAAGCCTCACTGCAAGAGGGCACACTGCCAAGAAAGTGGAGACACGCAAAGATTATACCGCTCAAGAAGCCGAATAAAGGTGACTACACCATTGCAAAGGTATGGAGGCCCATCTCACTCCTTGCGACACTCGGAAAGGTACTGGAATCAGTGGTTGCAGAAAGGATCTCACACGCGGTGGAGACGCATGGGCAGCTCCCGACGAGCCATTTTGGGGCCCGGAAGCAGCGTTCCGCAGAGCAAGCCCTGCTGTTCCTGCAGGAACAAATCTATGCGGCGTGGCGCGGCCGGCGAGTGCTGAGCTTGGTCAGCTTCGACGTCAAGGGAGCCTACAACGGAGTATGCAAAGAACGACTGATCCAGAGGATGAAAGCCCGAGGCATACCAGAGGTGTTGCTTCGTTGGGTCGAGGCCTTCTGCTCGGAACGAACGGCGAATATGCTGATCAACGGGCAATTATCTGAGACTCAAAGCCTGCCGCAAGCTGGACTGCCACAGGGCTCGCCCCTGTCTCCGATTCTATTTCTGTTCTTCAACGCAGACCTTGTGCAAAGACAGATCGACAGTCAAGGAGGAGCAGTCGCCTTTGTGGATGATTTTACCGCATGGGTGACTGGGCCCACCGCGCAGAGTAACCGGGAAGGAATTGAAACCATTGTCAACGAGGCGCTTAATTGGGAAAAGAGAAGCGGAGCGACATTCGAGGCCGACAAGACGGCCATCATACACTTTGTTCCCAAGATGCGTAAATCGGACCATTCGCCATTCACCATCAAGGGGCAGACGGTGGTACCCAAAGACCACGTTAAGATCCTGGGTGTCTTGATGGACACGAGGCTCAAGTACAAGGAGCATATCGCGAGAGCAGCGTCCAAGGGTCTCGAAGCAGCGATGGAGCTTCGGCGATTCCGAGGCCTCTCCCTAGCAACCGCGCGACAACTATTCGCATCGACGGTAGCACCAGTCGTGGACTACGCCTCCAATGTCTGGATGCACGCGTGCAAGGATAAAGCCATGGGGCCGATCAATCGAGTCCAAAGAGTAGGCGCGCAAGCCATCGTGGGGACATTTCTCACGGTCGCGACTAGTGTCGCAGAGGCGGAGGCTCACATGGCTACTGCACAACGTCGATTTTGGAAACAAGCCAGGAAAATGTGGACAGACGTCCACACCTTGCCGGAAACCAATCCTCTTCGCCGGTGTACAGATCAGATCAGAAAGTTCAGACGATACCACCGCTCACCACTATATCACGTGACCGATACGCTCAAGCACATCGACATGGAGACATTAGAAACGATCGACCCTTTCACGCAATCCCCTTACGATCACGCTGCTCACAAGCAACAAAGCGGCGGTTCTCACACTCAGGAACCCCCGACAACAATCTGGCCAGGAGTTCGTGTGTCGGATATACAAGTTGATTAAAAGGTTGCGGAGAAACGGAAACCATGTTCAATTGCGCTGGGTTCCTGCCAGTGAAGACAACAAGCTGCTAGGTTTGGCTAAAGAACAGGCAAGAGCCTCGACACAAGAAGATGCCCTCCTACAGGAACACGCCCCGAGGATAAAATCGACCACACTGAATCTCGCACGGTCTCAAGCAGCCCCCCGGAATACCTTACCGGCGGACGTCGGAAAGCACGCCAAACGAGTAGATGCCGCACTTCCAGGAAAACACACGCGACTGCTGTATGACCGCTTATCGTGGAAAGAAGCGACTGTGCTAGCCCAACTTCGGACTGGCATGGCGAGACTGAATGGATACCTCCATCGAATCAACGCGGCGGACACAGATCAGTGTGCGTGCGGACAAGCTAAGGAGACTGTGGAGCACTTCCGACATCGAAAGAGGAAGTGGAACGCACACCGGACGGAGATGCTACAATGTACCGACACTCACCGAGGAAATCTGTCCTTTTACCTGGGAGGGAAGTCCCCTTCCGACGATCAAAAGTGGACGCCAAACTTAGAGGCAGTACGGGCCTCAATACGATTCGCCATCGCGACAGGCCGACTCGAGGCCACCTAACCATGCCGACGAGCATGAATCACCCTTTTCACTCTCCTTTCACTCCAACCTAACCCACCAAACATCTCGTGATACCCATGGTGGACGCGCTTCAACTGCCGAAGATAGGATGTTGAACACTTGGAGAAGCGCCTTCAAGCCAGTCTACTAACCGCATTACTAACCCACGAGCATCCGCTACGACACTGCATGCTGAAAATGACAAATACGCCAAGGTCTTGTGTATGGGCTCCAATGAGTCACAGAATTGTATATACTATGACATGTATAGTAGTTTAGCGACAGTTGCCCTTTCGGCTCAGCCGCCGGGCGTTAATGAACTGTGTGTGTGTGTGTGTGTGTACTAGAGTCTATTATGGTCTACAAATGATGCCCTATTGGTTCATCTTAGTTAATATGGTGACATTTAGGCACATATATTTGCTCCCTCATCTTCAAAAACCAGTTACTCTATCAAAATATGCCAACAAACTAATAAGAAGGAACAGCCCCTCAGTCATACAGCCGCCCCTCATCCGCAACAGCACACTTCCGGCACCTCTCTTCTGGCTGTGTCGGTGGGAAATTAAACTCGGACACATCGTTCCTTTTAATCTCTTCCCTCGCAAGGATATCTTCGTACCCGCTCTGTAGCAATTGCGTGGCGAGATGCATCGTGACTCACTCCGTGGAGGAGATGGTGTCGGCGATCAAAATTCGGTCGGATAGCGTTTGCAAGTATTGGATTGTATCGCTAACCAATTTCCTACTTGTTGTTGTAAGGGTAAGGGATCTCTCTCGATGCATCTCTTGGGCCGCCAGTTGTGAGCGGCCTTGTATTTGAGATGCGGAGGATGAGTGTCGGTGTTGCTTTCGTGGGAGGTTTGAGGAGTTGGCTACTCTTTTTCTCGCGTTCAATGGGGCTAGGTCTTGATTTTCAGTCTTTATCGCGCTTAGAGACATCATACAGTTCCTCGAGCTGCCAACAGAAGTAACTACCTCTGTAGCTACAGAGCCAGTGGACTGGTCAACAGACGGCTGTAGAACCTGGCTTGAGTGGCCGCGATTTTCGTGGATAAACGGACGAACGACCCGACGGAAGTTTTCAGTCGATTGATTGCCTCCATGCGATAGATAGTCAGCCGATGGATTCCTCGAAAAGGGGTTCTAAAATAACGATACCAGTTTGCCATGTAAGTCCATTGTGTTTTTCTGTGTCTGGGGTATCGGACCTCTTTGATGCCTGTGGCAGCTTATAATCCATGATTATTTTTTTGGTTTTGCTGGAAATGGTGCTGTACCAACAGGTTATTAGAGCAAAAGAAGGGCATAGTAGCATCAACCATGGGACAATCATGAGCTTTTAAATGTTTGAGATCCACAATGAAAGATATATCCACTATCCAGTTTTCGCGGATTATCAATATCAATGCCGGCTCCCAGAAGCACTGCGTATGTTGATTTATTGCCTCAATCGCAGTACGTAGACCAACGCAACGATCGAATCAATGATGTTTCAATCCAGTTGTCGTATCCACGTGGTGCCCGAAGCAGCGATTGGTTGGAAGCGCATTCCCTGGAGTAACCTGGTTGCCAGATTGGAGTTGGTCATGAATTAGAAACATGCGGAAGGGAGTTGCATTTCCGATATCTCCGGGGTTGTTATTGCCTCATGATTCGGCCGCGGCAAAAGCCACGGTAGAAAAGACGACCAGTGGAGTCGTTTTTGCGCTTCCAGGAGCACAGGGGGCTTTAGCCTCGTCCGTAATAGCATGGTAGTTATGTGCTCATACATTCGCTGAGTATTCTCAGATAATACCTTTGGATGTATGGGTGGTGAATAGTGTCAGAGAGTTGATGTCAACGATTACATCAACGTTGAACATCAAAACCACTGAATACCAACAGCGTGTAATTTTTCGCCCATATAAAGTATTTAACTGAGCTATGCTAGTTACCTACTCACTAGTGGGACTTGGTTAAATTTGTCAGTTCAAATTGATTCTTAATCGGCCACGTTGGTTCACCGAACAGTAAGCGTTGCCTTATGGTTGGAAGCAGATCCTAAGTTGGCTGGCAGAAAACAAGCTCAGCAGAAATGACAGAAAATAGCGGAATTTGTCTTCCTGTGGAAGTGTCCAGTATCAACAGCAAAGGAAATATTCCTTGAGTACAGCAAAGCAATTTCGCAAAAAGGACCAAAGCAAACTCTGTCAGTACAGGAAATTTTCCTGGGATCACTATTTGGTTTGAAATATGTTATGCACAATCCATCACTTTGGAGATGATGATAATATACTGACTCCGTTTCACAGGACAGTAGACCCTAGGAATACATGGGGTGATTTCTAGAGCTGCCTTGATACCAAAGATTCGCGACGGTCTTCGTGTCCGTCGGTCTAAAGGATACAGATAGTGCTTCTACCTGAAACATTCTTACCGAGAGAATGCCTATAAGGATTACCACTGAGGCAGCAAAGCATGAGAAAGGCACCTAGCGCGGCTCACCATCAGCTGGGCCATTCTTTGTTAAGGCAGCATTTATGTGAAGAGACCATAGCACATAAATTCACGGTGCCCGAAGATTGACCTGCTTCATCATTATGCTGCTCTTCAACGAGACCTGCCTCACCTGCCTGCATTCCAAAAAATCCTTTCTTGCGGACACAATGCCTCTGAATACTTCCGCAGCCACAATTCGAATGCGTCTTGCCTTCCTTTTCCTTTCCATCACCTGGCTGGCTCTTGCCGGTCTCAGTTCGGCCACTGTACGCTTTGCGGTCGTTCTGCGAGACCGCGCAAAATCTGACCTCGTCAACTCGAGCGACTCTATTTTGGAGCAGTATGCTGGGTGGCTTGACGTAGCAAGCAGGTGATGGTTGACGACCTACTCTGCGTAAATATCCATCTTGATCGCATCAACCATGATGGCCGTCAACCTTTCAAAAGTCGACCCGGGAATAATGTGAGCTTCCCAGTGATCACATGGCCCCAAGAAATCGTACGTAACTTTTAGAGTCTCCATTCCCGCCCTTACAAAATCAGTCACGCCTCTGTTGACAGCTCCATCAGCCCTGGGAATACATATCTTGAACCTAGGAACTATTTTGCTCCCGGAGGCTTTATTGCAGTTTCTGAGGGCAAAGAACCAGCTTCTGGGAGCCACGTAGCCCCCAGGAAACCCGACGTAGCTTCTGGGGTCTAATACTTTCACCTCGGGGAACCAAAGTCACGTTCCTGTTGACAGTTTCAGCAACTCCCGAAACCTCAAGTGCGGTTCCTGGGGCTATGGCTAAGCCTTTTTGGGGGTAATCGAATGACACATATTTGTGCGCAGGTCTGGTGAAGGTTTTCTGTGAGGGCTTTCCGCGACCTCAGAAGGCAGAATCTTGACTCCAGGATCCAGAAATAGGGTCCCAGGAGCGCGACAAATCCCAGATTCAGCCAATGTGTTCCCAAAACCAGTTAGTATTCAATCAGTATCATATAGTGGAGATCCCAGGGGTAGAACTCGGTATCCTGGAAACAGGAATTGGCCCCAGGAGCTAAAGAGGAGTTCCCAAAGAACAAACAGCCCCCAGAATTGCATTTGGTGTTTCCAGGATCTATGTGTTAGTTCCCAGAGGCAGATTACCAATGATTGTCGATTAATATAGATGAGCTGGTTTTGTTACGTCGTGAGGCGGTACGGATAGAATTTTCGAGACTCGCCTGCCGACCCGCGAGCAGTGTTTTCTGCCAAATATGTCCGCTTCGCGCTCCACAAGGCTCGGCTGGACTCGCTGTCGGCGTTACTTTGGCCGCCGCCGTGTTAGGGCAGCCCCTGGGGGTGTCCTGATACGATAGGATACGAGTGGGGAATGTGAGATGTGCCTGATATGGGTATGATGGTATTCAGACTAATCGCTGGTCCTCCTAAGAGGATCTAGCCCCTCATTTCTTAGGGGATCCCCTCGTGCTTATGCAAGCAGGTAAGCGAGGTGATGTATCAACAGACAGCTCCGGTGGTGCATAGGCACCTCGTCCACATTTCCTAGACCTCATTGTATGGTTGGCGTAACAGAAAGTGCAGAATAAATAAGGGATGAGCTTAGTAAGGTCGTTAAGAGCCTTACGATCATCAGGCAGAGGGGGGTGCTGAATATTCCTCGGGCGCGCTAGTAACATCTCGACCCTCTTTTGTTGACACAATTGCCCCGCCGGTCTAGCTGACTAATCGACTGCATCACGCGACGTGATAAATTACGTCATGAACGTTAACTCTGATAATCTTGAGTATACTTGTTCAGATCCAGTCCCATCGCAGGCTTGGTAAATCATCTGAAAATACAGTACTAATATTTCAGAATGAAGTCAGGAGGACCAGATTCCGAAGTAGGTCTCATCCTTCCTGAATCTACGACGCTAATGATCTTCTTAGCCATTGTCTAAATCCGAGAACCGTATCCTCAAAAAGTACGGAAAGCTGCCGCGTGGAGGCTTACTTGCTCAAAAGTCCAAGGTACTTTAAAACACAGTTTCTTATGACGCACGCTAACTGACCACTGACAGGAACGGACATACTTTGACTCTGGCGATTTCGCTCTTTCTGCTGCTGATCGCGAGACTGACAACGGCGCTATCCAAACGGGCAAAGCCCACCCTAATCGGGAAAGCATTTCGCACCCTTACGCCCCTACCCCGGCCTCTAGTAACGTTGACGAATATGCCAACGAAGACATACGTAGGAAAATTGCGAGTACTGAAGAGAGTCCTCTCCTTCAACAAACAGACACTAAAGACGAACCGACAAACATGGAGGGACAGGAAGATCATATCTCTCACGAACGTTAAGACCGAATTGTCACATTGACATTAAACACAGATTGTATGTCATTCAGTAGGACAGTACGAGCAGTACGATAGCTCTTCTATTTAACAAGTTACGGAATACATTACGGTCTTATGGGTTCGAGAAACTATCAAAGAGCGTAGGTGGTGACAAAGGATTTCCGAAGCACTGTACAGGTGTACACATTGGGAGCAACTTGTGTTGTAGTTCAGAGGTATGGATTGACTTGTTATTTCAGGGGGATACATGAGCCTATATATACAACAGTGAGCCAAGTTGATTTCCAATCAACTTGGTCGTCTGTATAGACACTTCGGAGCTAATTCCGACGGTGCGGCTTGGTTCCTGATCTGCACCAGCTTCATATCACAACAATTTTATCTTCTATCTTTTTCAGCCGTCTCAGGGCAGCTGCTATACTTAGCAATTACCGCTAGATTATTCACACCTGACTGAACAGGCCTGGCAGTAGTAGTAACACCACCGCGACTGCTGGAACACCCGCGGTCTCTGCCAGCAGCCGCAGCATTCACGGCTATTGGCGGCGGTACGGGCCACATCGTCCGTAATAATGATTCGAGCTGGGTAACTGTCTCATTTTCGCTCCTGAAATTGGAGGAAAGAAAGAAGATAACTCGGGCGCATGCGGATTGGAGCTCTCTCGCTCTCCGCACGGGCGGTGGCGTCATCTTTCAGCTAAGCGCCTTCCCTCCATTTCCTTCATTCATTCTTCATATCCCAAACCTCGACCATGGCGAGCACTCCCCGCAGAACCGCAATGGACGGTTGGAGCTGACTGGATCCCTAATGATATAGGTAGTTTTCATATTGTGAACCAGATCATTAAACGGGGCCTCCATAATTCAAACGATGAAATGAAAATCTACACGACCAACCTGGTGGATAAACTAGAGCAGGTTCGCCGAGTCCCCCGTCTGATCCCCTCCCCGACCTTTGCGCACCAACACAATGGCTGACGATGATGCTGTGGATTAGTTCAAAGGCAAGCATTCTGACGATGAAAGAGTGATGGATAGCATCGCGGCGAGTGCGCTGATCGAGCACTTTGGGTTGGAAGTCTTCACTCGTGCCGAGGCTGCCATGAGCGCAAACAAGGTTACGAAGTGAGCTCTCTCGACTTTCGCCCGTGGCCACCAAGAAGCCTCCCCGCTGATTTGATTTTAGGCAAACCGCAGATACATTCCAGGCAGCGGCTGTATTCCTCGAACTATATCAAATCTGGGGCGCTCTCGATCTACAAATTTCGGGCAGGATCAAGTTCGCCAAGTATCATGCAGTCCGAATTGCGAAGGCGATAAAGAACGGCGAAGATCCCAATGCGTCGAATCCTGTGCCAAAAGATGAAGAGCAAAAATCCATCACTGCTCAGGAGGTTCAAGCATTCGATGAGTCGCTAGCGGAACAGGCCTATCGACCCACACAGCCGCCAACCGAGGGACTACCGGAAGAACCCGACCATCTCAGACGACCGCTAGCTCAGCAATCATCTCACGACGAGCCGCTTCACTCATTCCGAGCTTCATCACTTCAGTGGCCGCTTACATCCTCGACGTCTGGGATCCCTTATATTGCCCGCAATGCCCCTGGTTCTCCTGGGCGAACAATGGACATCGACCAGCCGCAACCAGGCGGCTTGGAGCTTCCCTCAACTCCGGGAACAATTGGCGGATCGTCATTGGTGCCGAATCTACCAGATATCCCTGGAACCTCGACCTTTGGCGAAGCCGATGCCTCGAACCATTTAAATACCTTCCACTCCTTCCCTCCACCAACCGCTAACTCGCCAGTCACCGCGCCGGACCCACCTTTCTTCTATGGCCCATCGAGTGCTAGCGCCCATATTCCGCACCCCGCAGCTCTACCGTCCAGAACGCCTCCCGTTATGCGCACCCATGGCTTCTGTGCCTACCATAAAACCACGCCAACCGCCACCCTTGCTCGAGGACCAGTCTATCTCCCTAGCACAGAAACATGTCCACTGGGCGCTCTCTGTGTTGGAGTTCGAGGACTTCTTCACGGCAGTGAAAGAGTTGAAGAACTCTCTGAGATACCTCGGTGCAGGGTGATCATATTTCTCTTCTACCAATGCTCCAATTCTTTGTTCTTGCACGAATATAACTGCCTCATATTGATTTCGATGGCGTTGATATTGCCATTTGTCCTCATCCTTATAGTCGGATTGTTGACTCTCCCTGTCCGGAATTCTATCTCCCCTTTTCCGTCGAAGTGTCTCTTACACGTTTTAGTTGCTTTAGAGTTTAAGCGCAGAGCAGCCTCTTAGAGCTTGAAACTCACCAGTTGGATATCCCCCACTTGCTCGTCTACCTTACACCCACACTTTCTCCTGCTTGTGTTTTTTCCAAGTTCCTATCCTTCTCTCAGGTTTCATATTCTCTATAATAATTATTTCGGCTTTTCTCCCTATGTATCTGTCAGGTCCCCTTTTGGTAACAACGTGTATGATATCATCTGTCCATTTCTTCCGTTGAGGATGACAGAAACAAACATGTAAAGACATCCCTCCAACCACCGCGAGTCCCAGACCTGTCCTCGCTCTGAGGTTTCATGTCCATCCACGGCGGGATGTCGCTCCCGCACCCATCGTTGTGAGCATGCATCTAACCCAGGCGAAGGTGAAGAGCTCTCATGCACACTCTGTTGTTCAGTGTTAATGTGTGAATATAGTGTTGCTAAAAGGAAAGTGCCGAGCTTTAAGTTATGAGAAATCCTTTCATATCTTCGATACGATATCCTTTGTATATTGACACTTTCCCCAAATTCCCTGGGAGTCATACGTTAGTTAATGCCCGAGGATATTTAATCAGACCCTGGTATCATCGCAAATCTGGCCAATGATGTGACGTAGCACATCATCATTTCTACACAGTCTGGAGATAGGTGGTCTTAATCCGTGACATATTTGGCAAGCAGATATCCGACCTACGGAGTAAACTATCCTGCAATGCAGACTTGCTATCCAAATAGCGGCACTACTTATTTGCAGCTTTATTTCCGACTGGTAGAATAGCATCCCATTTGTCATCCGCAACTACGGACACAATGAATCATTGACGTCATAATGATCTACGTGACATCTACATACCAGTCAGCTGATCGACAGAGCTTCATCTATGTCAAAGACATCATCTCGTATTTTAAATTATGGAGATGTCTAGAATCGAAGAAGCCAGCTACTTTACTCACTTCAGTTAATACCTTCAACAACCATGTCTTTTGGTGCTGTAATTCGACCCCGAGTTGCCAGACCTTTTTCTGTCGTCAGGATCAGTCATATTTCAAGGGTTTCCTATCACGAAATACCCCAAACCGGTTCTACAAACGAAACTCCTCCCATCTCTGTTGCTGCATCATTCCCTGATGATTTTGAATCATCACCTTTGGCCTCGGAGGTGTCCAAAAAGCGCGAAAGAATTTTTAAATGGGATGAAAGTCTAGCTACTTTGAGTGAGGCTGCGGTATTTACCCCCTTCCGCATTAACTGTCAATCACCCGGAAAATTATTGGTCGAATTATCCTTGATAGAAGGATCTTCCACTGAGACATTGTGATCTCCAGATTAGGGACGGTCTCTGCGTTATCAACTGTGTCTCGCAGGATAGGTCTGCGTCAACAATAATCCTCGCAGGGGGGCGCTGCATTACCAAGTTCTCCGCAGACTAGGTCCTGCGTCAACAAAGCGCCTCGCGGGGACATCTGCGACAAAAAGCCCCTCTAGCCCGTGCAGGCACCTCTTCGTGGTGCTAGGGGACCAGTATTCGAGTATCAAAAATACTCGAAGAAGCAAAGACCTGCGCACCATCTTGATGACGTATTTCGTGTCTCGAATGATCATCATTCGAGAAATGAAATAAGCCCCAGATAGAAGCAAACCAATTCCAGAATCATAAATTCAAGTTTCAACCTTCGTTGTCGAGAGCGGTATTCCCAACCTTTCCTGTCTTCATGGTTTGCGGCCGGCTAGTCTTCCCGCCGCAATAGAATGTATCTGCCATCAGGGCGTGGAGCGAACAAAACGGTCAGTATTTTGGTGCGTCGTGGATATGTTGACCGAGCGTTGATGAGCGTTGACGATAGTATGGACGAGGGTGTTGATGTGTATTGTGGTATATGGCCAGGCGGTGAAGTTGAGTGATGGTCACTAGACTTCAGCAAAGCCCAACCAAGCCCATTTCTATGCACACAACTACGATATTGGCATTCATAACCCTGCTGATTAATATCGGTTTTTTGTGCATGCTGTAAGCCCAGATCTCGGCCCGATGTTTCCCCCGGCTGAATCTGGGCCTGGAAAATGCGGCAGAAATAGGCTTGGCACGGGACATGTCCAGGACATCTCTAACCTGGGTAAAATAAATTTTTTGCTGTAGACTTGGGGGGGTGCCTGGTATTAGGAAAACTACGCGTGATTTGGAGTGGAGACTGCTGTCTACCCAATAATATTCAATATACAACCTACACTAAATTAATTATAAATATAAATTTTTCTTTTCAACCCTCGCATTTCTGAGACAACCGATTTTTTAATCAACAACTGCAAGTTTGCTTGCCGTTGACCCACATCTTTCACCACTATGGGCCTTGTACTACTCGTCGACGATGTCTTACAGACTATGTGTCTATTCTCGTTTATTCTACTGATCGTCGTGGAAAGCATCGTTGATATTGATTGTGCTTTCGGTCAACTCCCAAAAAACTGTTGGTTGCATGTTATTGTTCATCAACGTCATGTCTCTTCAAACAGTACAGTATCTTTGCGCTTTGCCCGCGTTTTGATTTGCATTCCAAATAGTAATTATCCAGACCAGATATCGCTTTTTTATCTCGCGAGTGAGACCCTCAAATTTCTGGGATCATATTCGATCCCAGGATCCATGGCATGGTTCCTAGGCACGCTCATGGCCGCTCCCAGGAGGAATAGTCATGGTCCCAGAGGACCTATAGCTCCCAGGTTGGACTGTATAGCTCCGGGGAATGAGAGGTGGTACCCTGGGAGCGTTGGTTACTACTTCTGGGAGCAATCAATAGCATGCCTGGGAACATTGAATCTGGGACCAGATATTATCTGGCACTAATTTAGACCTCCCTGAATTCTTAAATCATGAAGGCGAGCCAAACTTCACCCCTATAGGAGTCGTAAGAACATTTATGTACTTCGTCCTGAATCTTGTGTAGAAATATGAAGTTTGACTCGTGATTTTTGACAAACATTACTTACGTACTTACACCACTAGTACGATCACGAAGATCTGCATTCCGCGGCTGCGTTTGGGATATTGCTCGCACCAAGGCTGTCACAAATCCGCACTCCAGATGCGAATTGCATTTTTGAGTGCTTATCCACGAGTACCAAATTTGAAAGGCGGTGTTTAATCACGCGGCCAATCGACGTCCTCATTAGGCCCAACCCATGTGGGTCTTATTTATCCCTTCTGTTTCGAAGTTGGTTACAGTGCAGTAAAAAATTGTTCCATGACAATCACTTGTGGAACAGCAGAATACTGCCGTTTGATTCGTGGAAACCTCCGATAGGTGTGACCGGCCCCTTCGATGTTATCGCGAGTGTCGAGCTTGTGTAATTTAACTGGTTGGAACGTCTTGTCTTACCCCTTTTCTACAATAATTCATTCGCACACTTTTACCAGAGTCTCCTTTTGGAGCCCCTTCGTCCGGATTACTTCCAATGGATTTTCTTTCTCCCATCACTCCGAAGAAACAAATTTGATCGTTGTTCCATAAGCTTCTGGGGCATTAAGGGAATGCCACTCAGCAGTCGGCGCAATGTCACGTCCTATCCCATTACAAAAGGCTCAGCAAAACCTAGCCAACTTCAGTCCATCTAGGGAACGAGAATTCTATAAGTAAGTACTTTATATTAGTTTTCATGTGCGTGATATATGAGCTGTCTTTGCAATCTATAATATTCAACGAACACTCGAAGGCTGATCATGCGGCGTAACTTCTACAGATACCTACCACCGCACCATTTGAACGCGCAAACCCTGCAACATGTCGGCCGAGACACGTCAACAGAATTTGTCGCTCGATCGTCCTCAGATCCTGTTCTAACTGCATTTGCCCAGCTAGGTACCTTGCGACTGGACGCCCAATGCGCGTTGATTTCCCTTTTTGGTCAACACGAGCAGCACGTTATTACTGAAGCCACCAGAGCTCTAAGCCTGCGGCATAACGCGGATAAGAACGCTTGTGATGAACTTTGGATCGGGAGTTGTACGATGTCGTATGACCGCAGCTTCTGCAAATCCGTTTTGAACTCTCCGCCATCTGCACAAAGTCCTAGTGATAGAGTGGTCATTGTGCCAGACCTCTCATTGGATGATAAATTCAAGGAACATCCAGATGTAAAGGACTGTCCAAGTCTTCGCTTTTTAGCATGCAGTCCTATCATTAGCCCGAAAGGCTTCGTGATTGGCTCCTACACCATCCTGGACAACAAACCCCATGAACCGTTAGGCTTTGATCTAGTCAAATTCTTGACAGATATAGCAACCACTGTCATGGATTATTTGGATGCAACACGATCTCAAGCCCAACATCTCCGAGGCGAGCGCATGATTGTCGGACTCGGAAGCTTTCTAGAAGGAAAAGGCAGTCTCCGCAACTCATGGCTCAGTGCAGCCGACAATTCCCGATCCTTAGATCAAGACAAAGATCATGCGGAGGGACATGTAAACCAAGAGCAACAGGAAAAACAAGTCCTGGACGATGTGGCTCAAGCTATGACGCAAACTAGCGCCTCAAGCGGCCTGCCTCTCCACCCACATACCTTTCGTACGCGCGAGCGCAAGAAAAAAGATACACGCAGGCTGCAATCACAGTCGCTGGCCAGCTCAAAAACATACAAGATCGATCATCTCAATACCAAATCAGCGAATCGACGTGCATTTAAAGCGACTATGCCAGCCGACAACATGGGGACCCAAAAACAGTCACCAAAAGAAAGCTATACCACTGAGGTAAAGGAGGCGTTTTCGCGAGCGGCCAACCTCATTCGCGAGAGCGTCGAAGTCGAGGCGGTTGTCTTTTTTGACGCCAATCTCCGCTCTGGGGAGACTTTGGTGAACAACACGCAGTCTGACCATGAAAGTAGCGGTCTGGAAAGTTGTTCTTCAAGCGACGAGGAGGTGAAAGCTCGAAGGACCTTCACACAGCATGACCGTTTCACAACGCAGGTTGAAGGCACTGGCAAGACCACGTTGAACCCATGCCGGATTCTCGGATTTGCGACTTCGAACACCTCTAGCGTAAATAACCAATTGACGACCGACAACAAAATCGCACTATCAGAGTCTTGTCTTGGGGACCTCCTGCGCCGGTATCCTCGAGGAAAGATTTTCAATTACGGCGAAGATGGGTCAATTTCGTCCGATGACACGAGTGATGGCATATTCAACAGCTTCACCCAGCGCAGTGGGAGCAAGACATATAAACTAACAAAGAAGACAATCCTGCGTCAGGATGCTGCGAGACTTCTGCAGCTTGCTCCTTATGCCCGAAGCATCGTTTTCTCGCCATTATGGGACTCGCATAAAGGAAGATGGTACTCGGGCAGTCTAGCTTGGACAAGAGCTCCCCACCGTGTTTTCACTTCCGATAGCGAATTATCATTCATATTTACGTTTGGAAATAGTCTTATGGCGGAAATACACCGTCTTGGCGCCCAATTTGCCGAGCGTGCAAAGTCAGACTTGCTAGCAGGTCTGAGTCATGAACTTCGTTCCCCTCTTCATGGGATCTTCGGCACGGCGGAGCTCTTGAATGATACCATCATGGACGCGCTGCAGCGAGGATTCGTGCATACGATTTCATCTTGCGCATTTACTCTATTGGAATCGATCAATCAGCTTCTTGAATATGCCAGCATTAACGACATTGGGCCGAACTCAGGTACAGCAAAACGACCGAATGGCCATGACCATAAATCGCCGACCGATGGGACACTGGCTAGTGCCGGGCATGAACACAAACTTGAAGAGGTCGAGGCGGATTCTTATGTCGAGCTTGATATCGTTGTGGAAGACACCATAGAAAGCGTCTTTGCAGGATATACTTTCGTCGATAATTCACGTTCTCCTCTTGGGTGTGTCACCGGCGCATTCTCCGGGAGCAAGCCTATCAACATGCAGAGTGGAGAAGTTAAGGTGATTCTCGATATCGACCACTCCCAAAGTTGGAAGTTTTCAACCCGCTCCGGAGCCTTGCGTGTGGTCCTGATGAACATTTTTGGAAATGCCTTGAAGTTCACTCAACACGGCTATATCTACATCTCTTTAAAGGCCACCCCATTGGCCTTCGGAGAGGACGGTAAGGTCGCCCGGTCGATGGCTACGGTGACGGTCAGAGACACTGGATGCGGTATTGAGGAAGAGTTCTTAAGGAACGACTTGTTTAATGCTTTCTCGCAGGAGGATAGCATGATGACTGGTAATGGCCTAGGCTTCAGTATCATTCGCCGGATTGTATCGTCACTTGGTGGCGATATTCAGATTAATTCTCAAAAAGATGTTGGTACAGAAGTCTCGACGACTGTGACCCTTGACCACATCTCTGAGCCCATTTCCGAGCTGGGCGCTCCCGACGGCCCGAAGAATCGCTCCATTATCACTGTGGCAAAAGACCTTGTGAGCGCGAAAACTATTGGAATCTTGGGTTTAGGACTTTCTGAGTTGGACACGACTCTGGGTTCATCGTTGCAGAAGCTGTGCCAAGTCTGGTTTGGCATTGACGTTTGTTTGGTTGTGCCTGCAGAGGCACAATTCTCTCAATGCGATTTTTACATTGCGCCTCAAGCATTCTTGGACATGGGAAATATGGAGGTTAAGCCAATCGCACCTGATCCAAAGCGACTCTCCTCGCCTGTCATCATCATTTGTTCGTCTCCACGGGTCGCGCATTCGATGTTTGTCGCAGCCAGGAAGCGTGGAGAAACGGATGTACTCGAGTTCATCAGCCAGCCATGTGGACCACGCAAGTTGGCAAAAACATTGGAGATCTGTACCAAACGTCAACAGCGGCGGATTGACTGGACTGAGGGCAAAATAGAGAAGCTAGAGGGCGCCTCAAATCCTCCAACACCTATTCTATTCGAGAGAGGGTCATTCTTCGGCGTGCCGGTTTCAGAGAACAGCGAACAGCCTAAGAATAAAGTGGCGGGGGTTTCCACACCAATATATGGCCAAGATTCAGGCCCACCTGAAAAGTTGAAACCTCGAGAGAAAGTCGACAATTCTCACATTTCGACTACCGTACTTGGTTTTCCCACAACAGAAGTGGGGTCAACATCCCAGTCTCAACAAAGTTCTTCAGTAACCGTCCTCCTTGTTGATGACAATGATATAAATCTCAGAATCCTGACTGCGTTTATGAAAAAGCTGGGGTGCGGTTATGCAGTCGCAAAGAATGGGCAAGAAGCTCTCGAGACCTTCAGAGCAAACCCTTGCAGCATCCGAATTATTCTCATGGGTGAGTTCTAATGAGTAAAACTCCATACCCATTTTAATATAATATCTCTGCAGATATTTCCATGCCAATCATGGACGGCCTTGAATCCACCAGGCAAATCCGTGAGTTTGAGAAAAAACAAAAACCAAGAGCCGGGTTACAATTGTCGCTCTGACTGGACTAGCGCAAGAGGACGTTCAACGCGATGCCTTCAGGTCTGGTATGGATATGTTTCTGACCAAACCCGTACGTATGGATAATTTGGCGCCAATGATAATGGGCACAACGTGATACGCACAATACATTTCAATTTTAACGAAACGAGACTGCGCTCTCGACAGGTGCGGGATAGTAGTACAAGAGTGGTGAATGGTCTACACCATGAATCGCGTCATATTTAGCCTGTCTACATTGAGTATTTGAAAAATGGTCCATTCGAACACGTGATGCGTTAAAGTGCCCTTATAAGTGCTTCGTCTATCTAGGGATTCTACGATATCTTCGATGAAGATCCGAATGTTGATGTTGGGAGGAAGTTAGGGTAACTGCAAGGAATCTTCCATTTTCCCCATGCGGTGGAGCATTCTTGGGCTTTCTCGACAGCGAAATTCCGAGAGACGATGGTTGGAAGCCAGGCTGACCGAAAGAACTCTTCCCCTTTTCTGGGTTCGGGCAGACTTCTCCCCGAGTCTCGTTTTTCGGAATGCGGTATTTTTTTCTTCGCTCCTTTTCTCTAGGCTGGATCTGTATTAGTGATAACGATCAAGAAGCCAATTGATATACGGAAGATGATGTTCAATACTCCCATGTTGCTTTAAATAGCCGGACTGGGCTTGAAACTTTGAGATGCTGTTGAACGCGTTACCAACCTTACTTCGGAGTTTCTTCCTTTATCCATCCAATCTTGGGCAATCTAACAACACGTAGTGAACGCTTTTCCCGTTCGCCACAGACGCATAAGTCGTCATCGCGGAATCGAAGAGCCTTGGCGTATGATGACAACCAGCAGTGTCCAGCTCGCAGCTGAGTTAGTAAGTACGCTCTATTTCTAGGCAGAGAGCGGTAGAGCCGTCTGGTGTACTTGGCCGGCAGTGTCTCGTCGATCCGACGCAGATGGGCGGTGCCGGTCCTCGACTCGTTCCATTCTTTCCTCCATTGGGCGTCAATCCCTTGCCTGATGTGTGCTCTGTCGCGTGATAGCACAAAGCAGAACGGGTGAGTTTTACAGTAGTAGTAGTAGTAGTAGAGTTCATTTCTCCTGTCCCCTCGCTAGTTGGATCCCAGGTCACGTGATGTATATAGATATATAGGAGTGTCTGCCTAACAGGCAGCCACTCCGCTAGGCAGCAGGGAGATGAGCTGCTGCAACTACAAATAGCTGGATCCCTTCATATAGATGAATCTTCACACTTGTACCTCAATCCAGGGTTCAACTTCGCGAACGATATGCAGGATACAACAACTATATATCATAGATGAACTACATGTAGAGTGATCCATTTTCTGAATGAGTCTTTAAGCCTCGTCACGGCCTACCCTGCCCTGACCCATTGCCGCTCCCGCTGTTAGGCTGCCCTTGTGGCGCACGACTGCGAAACCTCTGTGACGCCTCGGCGAAGTCCAATACGGCCTGAACCGTCTTCGCCCTCGAGACGGTGTCTGGATTACCTCTCTCACCTTCGGTTGAGCCTCCCAGCAGACTCGACGCGCTGTTCAACGCGTCCCCAACACTTCTTCTTAATTCTATCCGCAACTCTCGTAATTTTGGACATTCCACCAACACATGGCTGACCGTCTCCTGCGCGCCCCACTCGCATCGATCATCGTCCCGGAAGCCAAATTTCTTGGCGTAAGTGGATAACCAGTTGTGGCCCGTGCGCAGCTGAGTGAGCAGGTATGCTCGGCTCATGGGCGGATTCCCGTACAGCTTTCTGGTGTGCCTCGCTGGTAGCGCGCCGTCCACCTTCCGTAGGTGCGCGCCTTTCGTGCCTGACTTCCACTCCTGCTCCCACTGAGCATAGATATTGCTGCGGAGAAGGGCGTTCTCTCTCGTCAGCAGCGGCCGGAAAGGGTGGGTTGTGCCCGGTTGCGCGGCTTCTTTGGCGAGTCGATCCGCGGCCTCGTGCCCGACAATTTCACAATGTCCCGGTACCCACTGGAGACGGAGGGAAATATGCCCTGCTTGAACCTCGGTGGCTGCTTGGAGGATTGCATGGATGATTCGTTGCCCTGATCTATTTCTCACGTTCTGGATTGCCTGCAAAGCGGATCTGCTATCACAAAGGATTGTTGCTGTTACGTGCATATGGTTTCCAACGCCCGTGCGTTGGTGAGCCAACTTGAATACCATGCTGATCGCATGAAAGATGCCCATAAGTTCCGCCACTTGGACTGACCATCGTTCCAGCGACCCCACTTGCACCTGTTGGGATTCCGTCACCTCATCATTGTCGTTCAGGGCCACGATGGCGGCTCCTAGATGACCCTCACGCCCGGAGGCGTCTGAGTAGACGACGATGTCTGACGTGTCCTTTGCGGACACCGCCCTTTCTCTCGCTGTCTCTCGGTCGGGTTCAAGCTCAATCTCTGTGAAGGCGTCCTTTCGCCACGGTGGTAGCGGACGTGGGTCAATCATCTCAAGTTCGTTGAGCCTGTCAACTTCCATGGTCTTCAGCGCTTCCGCTAATGGGAAGCGGGCGTATGATCCGACATTGTTCCTACGGTTCTGGGCTCTTGACAGAGCACTCCAAATGGGATGGTCGCGAGGTAGAGTGTGCAGTCTCGCAATCGTGCGCTGCGCTCGGTGGCGAAGGCGAAGGTGTGTGGGAAGTATGTAGGCTTCAACTTCTAACGTCGCTGTTGCTACCGTCCTGAACGCCGACAGGATTCTGATCAGCACGTTTCTCTGAACTGTGTTCAAGTGTCGGATGTGAACTTTGTCCCTAAGCGGGTCATGCCAGACCGTCGGTGCGTAGTCCTCTATAGGTGCGACACATGCCTGGTAGAGCTGTCGCATCTGCTCTGGGTGCAAGTGTCGTAGTCCACTTAAGGCGATTGCCGTTTTGGTGGCGCGCTTGATAGCCTGCTGGACATGTTCCTTCCAGCGAAGTCGCTGGTCGAACACCACCCCCAGTAATTTGGCTGTAGGTGATGGCTTGACGTCGGTCCCATCGGAGATGATTCGTCCTTCCATGTGCTCTCCCTTCTTTCTGGTGAGGTGGATAAGCTCGGTTTTCTCCGCTGCGAAGCAGGATCCAGTTCTCCGCGCCCACTCTTCGATACGAGGGACATCCTCGGACTGTATCTTGGTCAAATTTTCCTCAACTGAACTCCCCACTCTCCATCGGAAGTAATCGTCAATGAATGCCGATGCACCTCCCTGGGAGTCGACGGGCTGGTCGACTAGGTCGGCGTTGAAGAATGCAAACAAGATGGGGGAAAGTGGTGATCCTTGAGCTAGCCCAGCGTTCACCAGCGGAGCAGTCTCAGTGCGGAAGTCGTCAAACCCAATGTTGGCGTGCCGGTCGCTCATGAAACTTGCAATCCATTTTCTGGCCACAATCGGGATCCGTCTTGCCTGCAGCGACGCATCCAGGCTTGTCTTATTGACTCCGTTGAAGGCATCTTTAAGGTCGAAGGCGATTAGGGTCACCACCTTGTGCTTGTACCAGGCTTTGTCGATCGCACTGGACAGCACTAGTAGGGCTTGCTCAGTGGTCCTACCCGGCCGTCCGCCGAACTGGCTGTTTGGTAGCAGGCTGTGTTTCTCCGCCACATAGGACAACCGTCGGGCCATCACTGCCCCCAGGAGCTTGCCAAGTGTGTTCAAAAGTGAGATTGGGCGGTAAGCACCAGGGGCCGAGTAATCAGGCTTGCCTGGTTTCCGTAAGACGATGATTTTCGCGCTCCTCCACTGTCTCGGGTGGTGCCCTAGCTCTATACACACTGTGAAGATGCTCACAATAAAGGCCTTTAGATGCTTCCAAAGCTTCTTCCAGACCAGCATCGGTAAGTTATCTTCCCCGGGTGCAGTATTCCCTTTAGCTGCTTTCAGTGATCGCTCGGAAGTTTATAGACGCGCTCGAAATCAGTTTCACCTATTTTACTCTCTTTCATTAGTTCTCAAACTGACTCCCGAAACACGCTAGTCTGTGGTTAGTTTAGTGTGTCTGAAAATATTGAACTGTATTGTCAGGTGAAATCACATGATTACTCATTCTGTAATTTACTGGAAATACTAATATGATCGAAACTCTTTCAGTCTCCCCCACTCACGAAGGGCAGATAAATAAATTATGATTTAGTTACGCAATTATCACTCAGCTTTAGCAAAATACAGAAAATGATGGAAGATCTCTTCGAGGGTAACGAGGGGCCTGAAATCTGAATGAGTGGCTCCTTGCTAGCGTAGCTTAATAGGTCATCTGGTAGCGGGGTACTTTGACAACTGAGCCATGTGTTCGCGACTAAACTTGCCTGACTGTAATCGTGGCATCTACGATATCATATCACGGACCAAACTTTGGGCTCCAAGCAGCTACAACTATTGGAAATGTTACTATTCAGTTCCGTATGTGGGGAGACATCAATATATTGGAACGTGACTAATTCGAGTTACTGCCAAAGTACAAACGAAAACATTGTTCATTGCGCGCCCTCTGCGAAGTCGAACCAAATGCCCAGCATAGCGAATGTTCTGCTAATATAACCAGACAACAATATACCTACGAGGATAAGTGGTGACACCTATTTCCGGAAGTACTGTACTGTGCCCTACCTCTTATCGCTGGGAAAACTGGTAGACATACTTGTGAGGATGAAAAAAAAAAAAAAAAAAAAAAAAAAAAAAAATGTTATATATAGATTCCTAGCCTAAATATAAGGACAGCAAGTGCTAATAGAAAAATAAAAAAAAAAAAAACACTTAAACAAAAAAAAATATACAAAAATATGAAAAAGGAACCTACATTATAATAAAAAGAAAAAAAAAAAAAAAAAAAAAAAAAAAAAAAAAAAAAAAAAAAAAAAAAAAAAAAAAAAATTGTTCTGTATAGTTTCCTGGCTTAACTCTAGGGGCAGCAAGTCATGCTAGAATAATGAAATAAACCATGACCTTTAAACAAAGAATACAAAGATTTTGTCAGAATGCGATAGAACAGAATTATAAAGCGCAAG